TCGCACGCGCGGCGCACCGTGCTCGACACCTCTGCCAGCGCGCGGCTGTCCGTGAGCACGAGCTTGCCGAGGATGAGCACCAACTTGAAAAAAACGTCTTGCCCGCGCGCCGCCTTCCTCGCCTCCTCCCTGACGCTGCTGCCGCCTGCGTCGCCACCACGGCCCTTTTTGCTCGCAGGGCCTGACAACGGGCCCCTCAGCCACGCGGGACGCTCCAGCGCCTCCTCGCCCGCCATCTCCGACATCAACAGCAGCTGGCGCAGGAGAAGGCGATGCGGATAGATCTGCCTCTGAGGCAGGGGATATGGACGGGCCCACCTCGCACGGACGATGGCTTGTGACCAAATGGCTACATACATTGTCCAAATGGCCGGAGTGATATCCGCTTACCCTGCATTCCAATGACGGCGGAGGCCGAACTCCCGAGAAAGTTGCCGATACCCGTGACGGACATTTACCACTCATGAGGGCCCTCTGAAAGCGCGTGTAAGCGTTATCCTGGCTAGCGAATACACGTCTACATATTACGCATGTGTTTGTAGGGGTCAGCGTAGCAGATAGATTGTGTACTTGATGTATTTGGCGCATATGGTTCATGAGGTCCCTCTTGGTCTGGAACCCGTGCCCACATACCGTCCCCGCATCCGAAACCCATTCACACTTCCAAGGGAACTCCAGAGGTGCTCCTGGGGTGTCCTGCATTTCTGGCGCGTAGAGGTCCGAAGGAGGGATCACCTTTGCCAGCTCTCGTGCACGGATCTCCGTAAAGTCCACGCGAGTCCAGAACTCACGATACTCATCATTCACTATATCGCCTGGACAGCGAGCAGAATGAGCACAAAGATCGCCCTCGTCGAGCGCATCTGCTGCACGCCGAAAGTCAGCCTGCAGTCGAAGAAGCCACGGAGATGCCACTTTGGGGATGACAGTGTTGTCGCGCGTCGGTTGGCCCCCCGCGCCCAGGCCCAGGGCCCCGAACAACAAGCAAAGCTCCTGGCCGTGGTTCTTCGGGGAGGGGGGCCAGGTACGATACCACCCCAGACGCCTGACCAGCAACTCCGTTTCAGAACTAGCGAGGCGCCAATGCTGCATCACTCTCTTGTTCGACCACGACCGAGTCTTCCCGTCCACCTTCGTCGTCGCCTTCCCCTGCAATGCCCTCCTCCCATAACGAGCCAGGAGCGAGTCAAGTTCGCGATATTGACGATTGGTGAGCAGCATTGGTTCTAATTCAGTGAGCGCCGCATTCGGCACGAAACTCAGAAACATGGTCCGCTTCCAGCGGAACGGCAACTCCAGGGACCATATCTGGCCCAAGGCATAGTACGACTCAGCGGCAGCTTGAATTCTGCGATCAATCTCCACTGAAAAAGATAACAGCATATTACTTTTGGGGCCCAGGTACCGAACACGCTCCTGAAGATCTCCTGCGAGTTGTTTTCGACCCTGACCCCTCGCCCACTGTTGGCACTGTAAGGCCCCAGGTCCCTGAAAGCACAGCTGAACCTCCTGCTTCCCGATGTTTTGGGCGTGCCCAGTCGCACCCAACTCCTCCGAAAGGGCCGCGTCAGCTTGCTTCAGGGCCCGAAAAAACTGCCCACGGCGCCGTGAGGTTGGGCCACGTGAGCCCGGAAGATATCGTCGGCATAAAGGCAGCCACCGACGTCAGCACGTAAATCTCGCCAACTAGCAACCAGCCCAGCAGCAGACTTGTCCGAATCTCTAAGGCGACGAAGCCACTGCAGGATGGGTCGAGAAAAGGTTCCCCGAAAGAGCTCCACGACAAACGGATGTCCCATCGCCCCTCCTTCCCCCGCCTTGATGTACATCCCACCCTCCATGGTCTCTAGCCAGATCACACTGCATCGGAAACGTTGAACGCACAAATCTACATCCTGAGGTTCTGCGTGGAGCTCTACCGCCTGGTCAAGTTCTCCCCGGCCCCCACTGGCGAAAGCGTTGGGCGCGTCCTTAAAAGTGAACGCAAACGAATGTCCAGCGCGTCGAAAGCGCCAGCAGAGGAGCCGTGCAACTAAAATAGCTCCTTCACGACGTCCACCTTTGCAAAAGCCGTGCTCCGTGACCATGGGAGGAACCCGAAGAAGGCCTCGCTACAATGCTTTCCCAGCTGTCGGCAGTACATGGGCCGCCCTGCGGCCCGTGGGCCCTGGCTTGGCGCGCGTTTTTTTTTTTTTTTTTTTTTTTTTTTTTTTTTTTTTTTTTTTTTTTTTTTTTTTTTTTTTTTTTTTTTTTTTTTTTTTTGTTTGTTTGTTTGTTTGTTTGTTTGTTTGTTTTCTCCCCCTTATTTTTTCGAAGTTGTGCTCCAGAACTGATGCGCCACCGAAGCGGGGTCCAATTCGTAGCCCGAACTATCCGTGGGCCCCCCTCCAGAATCTTCCCAAACAGCTTCATCTCAGGGTCTACCTGCTCGTAACCTACCCCGTGCCCCTTGGTGCCCATGTTGGCCTCTGGGTCCATGCGAAGCAACCGAGCCTCAGCTGGCGGGGTCCCTGATGGCACCATGCGTCTCTTACTGGCACTCCTAAAGTACTTCTGGATTCTGGATTCTCCACTGGTCTTCCCGAGCGAGCTCGCAATCCTCGGGCGCGATGTAGGGGGCGGGGCCGGGTGGATATTCGTTCAGCCAATCTTCGAAGATAATCTTACGAGCCGACATGCCCCCGCCCCTGCCCTTCTGGCCCCAATGGTCGAGCAACTCCTGCTCTGCAACGCAGCCACATCGCAGGAGCCGTCCGTCACGTCTCTTCGGTCCGAAGCGGCACCGCCCCGCCTGCCTCGAAAGCCTCATCGCCTCTGCAAGGTGTCGGGCCTGCCACGCCTCATCAATCTCATCCAATAGAGCGGTGCGACGTTGCTGATCAAGTTGCTGCCGTTCTCGACGTAGACGCTGACTGGGCCTCTTCAACTGCTCCTCGCACTCGTGCAGCTCTGTGGAATCCTCGTTCATGTCCTGTCGAGACCGTCGGAGTCGAGCACGCTCTTTCAGAAGCTCGGTTCGCTCTGCCGCTGCACGCCTATATGCGGGATCGTTAGATACAACATGGCCAAACATCTGTTGCCCGATAGATACCAGCACATCATCAAGGTGAAGAAAAAATCATCTGGTCTCCCGTCGGTCAGCATGGCCCTCCAAGTATCTTCCGTCTCCTGCAGGCGCGCTTCCACCTTCTCAAGAAACTCAACTCGACGATGTCCTCGTCGAAGACACTGCATAAGGTCGCCCTGATTCCACCTCATGCGCTCTGGCGTCGGCGTCTCCGTCGCGCAGAGCGCCTGCATGCCGTGTAGCTCCATGTAGACTGGGATGTGGTCCTTCGGCGGGGCCCCCTTGAAGGCCTGCAACTCCGCTCCCAAGCTGTACAAAGGAGAAAACTTCGGTGCCATATCAATCATACCATCTGGTATGAAAAAGGTAGTCAATGCAACTGCTGTGTCCAGACGCGTTGTAGAACGTGTGCTCTAAAGTCTGGCTGCGAGAACTCATCATGTACATGTGGTGGCGCTCGTTCACCAGTCTCATCATTTCACCAGCGCCCCCACGTCGTTGCTCTCGAGCTCGGCCTGGTCCCATCGACTGCGACTCTACGCGCTGCCACTGGCCCGAGATCCTGCTGATGCCCATGCCGTCGTTCAGGTCAGCGTACACCAAAGGCGTACATCTGCATGGTAATTGTTGTAGGACCCCCTTCATACCACTGTGTCAGCATACGGACAGTCTCTTTGTAATGGGGGACCAGACGAGCGTGCCGAGGCTGCGGCGGAAAATACAACACGATTGCTGCCATATCCAAAGGGCCACGACGGACCCTCGCCGCAAGGGCGCGGCCCGCTGCACCTGAGGGGCTCGGCCAGGTCCTGCACACGCGCTGCTCCTTAAACTTGTGGCCCAGGACGATGGCACAGCCCGTACTCTTATTGGTGAACTCGCCCACGCCCGCCTCGGCCTCGAGAGCGATCCTCTTCCCAATCCTGCGAGTGAGGACTTCATCATTACGCCTGTGCGTAGCCTGCGTGCCAGCGAGCATCACCACATCCATGTTGCTGCACGACATGGCAATCTCTTGGAGGCGGACGCCCGTGCAAAACATCGGGTCGTACCCCAGCACCCGCAGGATCCACTGGCCCACGGGCCGCGCCATCGCGATGCGCGTGGCGCCACGGCGGGCCATCCGCCCGCCCGCGCCGCGGCCGCCCCTCGCGCGCTGTGCGCCAGAGCGGCGGCTGGAGGAGGAGGAGGAGGACGACGACGAGAGGAGGAGGAGGAGGAGGAAGAGGAGGAGAAGGAGAAGGAGAGGAGAAGGAGGAGGAGGAGGAGGAGGAGGAGGAGGGGGAGGGGGAGGGGGAGGGGCGAGGGGGCGCGAAGTCGAGAACGCCAGAATCCTTCAACAGCCAAAGGGTCATCAATGATTCGTCCCTCTTTAGGCCCTCCTGGGACGCTTCTTCGAGGCCTCCTGGGGCGTCTTGGAGGCCTCTTTGGCCGCGAGGGGGGGCAACACGTAACGCCTTCCCCCTCCCCCCCCCCCCGTGCTAGTGCCGGGCACCATGACCCTGTACGGCGGTAGTGCCGGGGGGCGCACCCGGGGGGGGGAGCGTTACGTTGTGGTGTGGGGGGGGGGGGCGGGGGGGCGGGCGGGGTTGGGGGCGGGGGCGGAAGGGCACAACGCCTGTTTCTGGCCCAGAGGGTCAGAAACTGAGCTCCTGCTGCAGCTCGGGGTGTCCAGGCCCTCTCTCCTCCTCCTGCTCCTGCCTTCCCTCATTCCCTGGCCTTCCCCCCCCCATTGCCGTCCCAAGTGCAGGCGCGCAGCCTCCTCAGGCCAGCTTGGGCGAAGACGGAGTAACTGGGCTCCCGGGGGTGGGCTCCTAAAGGCTGATGTGCGGGGCATCTTGAGGTGCTTTGAGAGGCATCCCCTCAGACCCCCCCTGGCGTCGGTCTGTTGTTCGGTATGTCGGTATGATTTTGTTCCCATGTTCGGTTTGAGGGGGGCCCTGCCGTCCCTGGGGACAATCAAACACTGCTCATGTCGAGAAGCCAGTCCCAGGGAACGTTTCCAGACCTTTGGGGGTCTACGTCATGAAAAAATGGCGACATCGGGGGTCTGGGCCCAGAGGTGCGCCGGAGCCGATGGACTGGAACAGACTTTCAATTCCAGGATCGCCGACGCAGTGATGCTTCCGATGCGGAGGTATCTGGAGCACTCCACCCCTATCCGGGGGCAGGCTCTTCTGGTTCAGGATTACGTTCTGATAATCCTATGGCCAAGACTCAGGCTCCAGACGCCTAAAACCGTAAACAAGCGTCGCATTTTAAAACACGTCTTAAAATAATCTGTCGGGAGTCTGCGCGAATTTATTGTTCTTGATCTGGCCGAGTACATGGCAGAAGAGTTCTCTGGGTGGCACAGATGTGCGCCCAAGAGCTGCCAACTAACATCTCGAAGGCAGTGGTGCAACGCAACATGGTTAACCCTGGTGACATACCGTCGACCCAAACAGCAACCTCGGAAATAGAAGACGATACGCCAGACTCCCCTTCAGAATTGGTGCCAGAATCACCGTGTTCAGTCTCGTGCGACGCACCCCAGCTCTGAACATCCATGTTCATTTCAGCACTAGGCATTGTCGGCACTCTCGGGTGCGTCCTTGGTGGAGGCAGGTCCGCGAATTCTCGAAAGCCGACAAGGTACGACTCCTTTTCATCACCACTACGGAAGCGCACGCAGAAAACTTCCACCGACACAAAGATGCCACAAGTGTCCCGCAATTTGACGTGAAAAGCCGTGCAGAAATCATCATACGCAGTACTGGAGGTTACGTGTTCGGCAAATTTTTCGAGATCGGCCTCTGCGGCAAAAAAAGACGATATATTCACTCCCGCCAAAGATCGAGGCTCGCTATGCATTAACAAAGCCGCGAACTTTTTGGAAGGCCACTTGAGCATCAGCTTGGCATCGAGCTCGACCACGGCGTCACAAACGCCTGCTAAGATCGACTTTGCGGCGCGCAACTCGCTCCGACATGCTTGAGCCTCTAAGAGGGCATTGACCACCATTGAGAACACGACGTGCAACATAACCAAAGATACAACGACCCCAATCCAAGCAAGAAACACGTCATTTGTGGTTTTAGGGTCGTGGCACGGCATGCCATTGGATTTGCCAGCAAGCGCTGTGGACGCAGCGGACAGATAGCAGAGTGTCGTCCAAAACAAATTCGCTGGAAGGCTGAAGTCAATCATGCAGTACATTACGCAATCATACACTATTTGAAACTTGAGGGGGCTGATCGATTCCGCGAATTGCAGCAGCGGTGACAGAGAAATCGCATGTGAGAGTGACAGAAGGGAATACCATACATGAAGTCGTGATGGGGTCAACAAGCTAGGAAACACATTGACTGACACAACTATCACCCCAGAGAAAGCATAATGCAAGCGCCTGGGAACGGTATGCGGGCGGTCATCTGCGGGGAAGAAAAAGATCGGGAAAACTACCCCGACGGCTGCGACACAAAAGAACTGGTAGCTTCTCCGTGACATGGCAAGCCTGATGGATTGCTTGCGCTTGTGAACAGATTGTTGAGTGCCGTCTTTCCCAAGAATGACCGTCCTGACGACTGTAGAGAACGCGAGCAATCGAACATAGTAATCGTGAAACCAAGACCTTGAGGCGCCCTCGGTCCACAACTGCCAAGCCAGGCGCCCCAGCAGCATAGCGGCGCAGGCCGCAATGCAAATAAGCTCCACTTGGTGGACAATATCAGATAAGTCTGGCACGATCATTGGAGAGATCGGCTTGGCACCTAGCTCGTGCGGAAAGTCAGTCTGTCTAATACTCCATGTCAAAGGGCACTAATCCCAAAACTTTACGGACGATGGCAATGGGAGTGATGGTCATGAAAACGGATGAGAACGACGCTAACAAGGGAAATGGCGATGAGAAGAATACTGTTGATAGCGACAGGGTGGTTCGGATCCCGCACAGCAGCCACTCCTGGAGGGATGGGCCATGGCCGAATCGATCACCCGACTGTGTTTGAGTTGACCGCCCGACTTCACCTCGGTGAGTTGACCACCCGCCTGTACCGCGGGTGAGTGTACCACCTGAGGGAATCGCCCGAGTGTGCCCCAGCCCTCAATGCTGAGGATTCTTGTGGGGGCCTGGACCCCAGACTGCCAAATCTCCTGGGGCTCCCCGCGTGCCCTCTGGGGCCCGTCGCGTCTTGTCGCATGACTTTTCTTCTTCGGGCCTCAGAGGGCCCCAAGACGGACCAAGAGAGCCCCAAGAGGCCGCCTGGACGATCCATGAGGGTCCCGAATCGCCGCACGATCTGTCCAAGACGCCCAAGATGGCCCCCAGACGGCCCAAGAAGCCTTTGAGGCGCGCCAAGAGGCCTCCCAAGAGCCTTCCCAAGAGGGCCCCGAGAGGCCGCAGTCATTCCCCAATTAGGCTTGCCTAAAGGTTCTTGCTTGAATAAGAAGAACGGTGCCTCGGGGGCTTACTTTGCCCGTTCTCCGGGGGCTCATCGCGTTCCTCGGGTTCCTCAGTCATTCTTACGTTGCTCATTGCTCGGGGGTTCCTCGGGTTCCTCGGGTTCCTCGGGTTCCTCAGGTTGCTCGGGTTCCTCGGGTTGCCCGGGGTTCCTCGGGTTCCTCGGGTTCCTCGGGTTGCCCGGGGCAATGCCAAACAACGCCAAGCAATGCGAAGCAATGCCAAGCAATGCGAAGCAATGCCAAGCAATGCGACGCAATGCGACGCAATGCAAGGCAATGCCAAGCAATGCAAAGCAATGCGACGCAACGCCGAGCATTACACTACACATGACCTTGAATGACACACATGCGTGCGCACGTGCGTGTGTAAAACCACAGGTGCATGCGAACCAATACGTGCACACAGCACCTTGGGGGCAAACGTTGGCGCGGCCAGCGCGCGTCGTCCGCGCATGCTGGCAGCGCCGAGACGCGGATGCCGCGCGGCATAGCGGAAGCGGATGCCGCGCGCCATACCGAGAGGTCAGCTAGGCAGGTGCTGGCCCGACGGAGAAGGCTGAGAAGGCCGCAGAAACATCGGCAACGGGAGGGGAGCGCACGGCGCCTTCCCGGTTGCCCCCCCACTCCTCCTGCCCTCTATCCTCCTCCTCCTCCTTCCCCTCCAGACGACCAGTGCAGACCCCAAACTCATCAACGATGTTGCAATACACCATCCCCCCAAGTTCCCGCTCTTACAACATGTACTTGCACCGCGGGAAGCATCCCGTTGGAAGACGACCATCTGGTAATCTTCAACCGTGTCGAAGCACCAATTCTCGGACTTCAACGCCACGAATGGACGTTCTTGTTTCTGGGACACTAATAACCGAAATCACCGTGACTGTCGCGTCGTGACAATCACAACACGTGTCCAAACTCCATTTCTGGGACGTCAGTCGCAAGAACCCTCCACCCGTGACACACCAGCAAACTTTTGATGCGAATGTGCGTGGCGCTAAAGCAAGCGCCACATGTTGAAAAAGAACCTGCTTCCATCCGTGAAACATCTGCACACTGTAACGACGAATGTGCGCGGCGCTGGGGCTCCATCCACGAAGCGGCTGCTGGCGTTCAAAACGAATGTGCGAGGCGCCCAGCGCGAAACACAAAATTAAATTCACCAGCCCTCCATCCATGAAACCCGCGGCGCTCAGGCGAGAACCACATTCAGAAAACGACCCGCCCTCCATCCGTGAAGCTCTTGTGAAGTATAGCTTCAGGATCATAAACCGTGAGAACGTCTCAAGCGAAACGCCCGGCCCGCCCCGCTGACCCGTGTCGGGGTGCGACAGGAAGGGACTGTTTAGAAGGACGAGGGATGGAGAAGAACGGAGACGAGGGGAATGGGGAGGGGGGGGAATGGGGAGGGGGAGGAGGACTAGTGTAAACCCAAGACGCATCAACGATGTTGGAATGAGCCATGAATCCAAATTCCCTCTTCATAGGTCCCTACAGGGGCCATTTCCACTGATGGAAGTACCCCGTACCCCGTTGGGGAATCGGGAGGGGGGGAGGAGGACCAGTGTAAACCCAGGACGCATCAACTATATTGGAAGAAGGCATCAATCCAAGTTCCCTCTTCATAGGCCCCTACAAACGGTCATGTCCACAGATGGAAGTACCCTGTTGGAGGACACCTGTTCGAAGATCCTGAAGCGTGGCAAAACACCATTCTCGGGACTTCAACGCCACGAATCAATACTACCGTGGCAGATTGACGATCCTGAATCGTGGCAGAACTCCATTCCCGGGACTTCAACACCGCGAATCAACGTAACTGCTGCACCCTAACAATCCTGAGTCGCTCACAAAGACTATGTTTGGTATGTTGACCATGAGATTCCGTAGAATTCTTGCGCAATTTTACACTGGCTGTGTGCGGCGCTAAAGCAAAAAACCATATATCCTGAAAAACACCGCCCTCCATCTGCGAACCTCTTCAACATGTTTAAAACGAGTGCGAGCAGCGCTCACCGAGAAACGCATTAAAAAAACACCAGCCCTCCGTCCGTGAAGCTCTTGCTAACTCTTATACCGAATGCACGCGGCGCTGAGGCGAGAACCACATTTAGAAGACGGCCCGCCCTTCATCCGTGAAGCTCTTGTGAATAGCTGCAGGATCATAAACCGTGGGAACGTCCAAAGCGAAACGCCCAGCCCGCCCTTCTGACCCGTGCCCGGGTGCGACAGGAAAGAGCGACGTACAAGGACGAGGGATGGAGAAGAACGGAAAGGACTGGAATGGGGAGGGGGAGGGGGGAATGGGGAGGGGGAGGAGGTCCAGTGTGTAGACCCAAGACGCATCAACTATGTTGAGATAAGGCATCAATCGAAGTTCCCTCTTCATAGGCCCCTACAAACGGTCATTTCCATGGATGGAAGTACCTTGTTGGAAGACAACTGTTTGAAGATCCCGAAGCGTAACAAAACACCATTCTCGGGACTTCAACGCCACGAATCAATACTACCGTGGCAGATTGATGGTCCTGAATCGTGGCACAACACCATTCCCGGGACTTCAACACCGCGAATCAACCTAACTGTTGCGCCCTAGGCCCTAACAGTCCTGAGCGCTCTTTTTAAAGGGAAGCACCCGATCTGTGAACCTATTCCAAATGTTGAAAAATGATGTGCGCGGCGCTAAACGAGAAACGCATTTTGAAAACCACCCGCCCTTCATCCGTGAAGCTCTTGCACATGTTTAAAGCGAACGTGCGCGGCGCTAAGGCGAGAGCGACATGTTGGAAGCGACCAGCCCTCCATCTGTGAAGCTGTTGCCAAATATTAAGCTCCAGGATCACGAATGGAAAGGAAGTCTCAGGCGAACTGCCTGGGCCGCCCTTCCAACTGGCCTCGGGTTGCGACAGGGAAGGGCTACTCATAAGGGAAAGGATTGGAGGAGGGGGCATGCCGGCCGTCGCGGATATGCGAGGATGACCCACGAACTGACGATGACAATGATGGACGGCGACGGTGACCGAGGTGGACGGTGACGCTTCCGCGTGCGGTCCCGGCCATGGTCCTCGCACTCTCTCCCTCCGGAAACACATAAACATAAACTTTCGACGGTCTGCCCGGATTTCTTGGATCCGCGCCGAAACCCCCCTCCCTGGCGCGCGGAGCGCGCCAGGGGCATGGCCTGCTTTCTTCTTCGAGCCTTGGCCATGGTCCACGCACGCTCTCCCTCCATTCCCACCCGTTACCCCCTGTCGGGGATCTTCTAACCCGGGTCGATCATACCTGGGTCAGCAGGAAACCGAAAACTGCAATGCAGGAAACACAAATCACCTGCAACGCAGGGCCTCGCAAACCCGGCAGCCAGAGGGGGCCTTCGCAGGATCCTGCAGGCTCTGGTGCCCTGGCTGACCCCCGTTTGTCTTGAGCGCCGACCATGCCAGAGGGGGAGGGGGAGGGAGAAGGTGGAGGAGGAGGAGGTGGAGGAGGAGTACGAGGGGGAGGGGGAGGAGGTGGAGGAGCAGGTGGAGGAGGAGGAGGAGGAGGAGGAAGGTGGGAAGGAGGAGGAGGAGGAGGGGAGGGGGGGGGGGGGGGGGGGGCGGCGTGTATCTTGAGCGCCGACCCTGTGTCGCCCGCGGCCCGGCCTGTCCGCGGGGCCCCGGGCGCTCCCGGGAGCGCTGCGCTCGGCCGGGGGGGAGGGAGGCGCCGGGCGCGGGGGCAGAGAGCGGCCGCGGCCCCCGGGGGCGCCGCCCAGGACCCCGGGGAGGCGAGCTGGGCGGGGCCCTCTTGGCGAGAGGACAAGCGAGCACCGGGCGTCGGCGCAGGCAAGGGCGCGCCGGGCAGGAGGTGGGCGTCAGGGCCCCAGGAGGTGGGCGGAGCGGCGCTGGGCGCACGGCGCCCCGAGAGGGAGAGGCGATCGCCGCCCCCCCCCCCCCCCCTCCTCCTCCTCCTCCTCCACCTGCTCCTCCTCCATCTCCTCCTCCTCCTCCTCCTCCACCTGCTCCTCCTCCACCTCCTCCCCCTCCACCTCGTACTCCTCCTCCACCTCCTCCTCCTCCACCTTCTCCCTCCCCCTCCCCCTCTGGCATGGACCATGACCAAGATCTGCAGCGACAAGATCCCGCGACATCTTGGTCAGCTCTCTCCTCGAGGCGAGACAGGCTGCCATTCGGCCCTCCCAGCTCGCCCACTCGTCCGCGAAGCTGCCGCCGTAGATGGAGTTGTCCCCGGTGCAGTCTCCACGGCCCCAAGACGGCACCGGAACGTCGCAGGGAGTCAGCAGCACGGCACCAGGACAGCCAAAGACTGCGCCAAGGACGGTCTCAAGACAGGCCAGAGCAAGACCAGCCAGAGCCGTCCAAGAGAGCACAAAGGCGCCCACCACACGACACAACACCCTCCAAACCTGTTCTAAAGCTCCCAAGAGTGCCTTGAGACCCTCCAAGATTGCCCGAATACCCCAAAAAATGACGCCCAAAATACCTAAATGCTCTCCTAGAAAGCCTTGGGGCAAGCCCGCTGGAGGCATCGCGGACGTCAAACAAGCCATACGTGACGGCCCTCTGGACAGTCGCAGAACCAAGCGTCACGCGTGACAAGGCTTCCCCCCCTAGGCACTCGGGCACCCGGAGAAGAAAGGGGAGTGTCTGGCAAGGCTGCCCGACTCCCTTTCCAGCAGCACCCTCCCGGGTTCGAAGGCACGAATCAGACGGCCGGGATCCCACCAGCGGCCTGGCAGACGAAGCCAAGGATGATGCGGTGGAACCGCATGCCCTTGTAGTGAAGCTTAGCCGCGCGCCCGCGGGGCGCGGGCTCCGCGGCGAGCCCAGGCTCCGGACGGCCGAGCAACCGAGACGGCCCCCGCGCACAGCGGGGAGAGTGCTGCACTTTTGGCGGCGCGCACAAGGGGGTGGAGGGAGGGCGAGGGCCTCTTAGAAAGAGGCTGCTTTTTCGAAGGCGCCGGGCTTACATCTATAAGCGCCTTCTAAGAAGCAGGGGTGCCTCTTAGAAGCCTTCCCCCCTCCCCCTACCCCCCTCTGCGCGTGGCCGACACTTGCCAACAGGACTGGCCGCCCCTCCGCCAGGCACTGGCCCACAGAGACCGCCTGGAGTCCAACCGGTACAGTGCGGGCGCGGCCGCAAGAAACCCTCGCAAGAAACCCAGCCCTGAAACCCGCAGGCGCGAGGTGCAAATCAAGGGGAGCCCAGAGCAACCCGAATACAGCAACTCCTTCAACGGCCTCGAAAAGCCACCGCGCAGCGCGCGGAGCAAAACCCAGGGTACCCTGACGAGAAGCAGATGGTCCCTTGCTGCGCGCCCCCACTGCACTGCGACGACGTGGGTCCATCGGTGCCTCTGGCGCGGCCACGGACTCGGAGGCGGAGCGAGAGAACCTGCCCCACCGCCTGCCACCCTCTCCCCGCTCCCCAATGCAGCAGACCAGCGGGGGATCGGGCGACGGAGAGGGCCGGAGAGCTCAGTGGTCCTTGGAAGCGACACGGCAATGTCGTGCGTCCGTTCTCGTTGCGCCGTTGTCCGATTTCGTTCTGCTTGCGGCGACCTTTTGTTTTCTGGCTCCGTGGCCTTCTCTTCCTGGCTCCCGTCGCGTAACCGATAATTCTCGTTTCGGCGAACCGCTGTTTTACCGTTCTGCTTCTCACCGTCAATGTTCTGGAAACGGTAGTATCGGCGGTGGACAAACCTCCCTTTAGTAAACCTCCCCTTAGTGAAAACGGCCTGGGACCGAAAGAAGGACCTGGACCCGCAAAAATGACGACCGCACGCCCTCTCGCAAACCGAAAACGGCCAATTCCTTAATCGACGTGTCAGGGTAGGAGGTCTATCAACCTCCGAAAATAAAAAAGGCCAGCCGCTTCCAAGACCACTCAGCCCGAAAGGGCGCGAGGCAGAGGAGGAAGAAAGACAGGGACGAGGAGTGGCCCCACGGCGCAGCGGTCTGTATCTGCGCCTCGCCTCGGACGGCCTAGGCCTGAACGGGCGAGCGCCGCAAGGTCTCCTCCTCTTCCTCCTCTTCCTCCTCATCCTTGTCGCCTCAAAAGTACTCAGCAATTTCAAACAGATTATGATGGTTGACGTCCCAGGAATGGTGTCCTGGCGCGATTCAGGATTGGCAGGGCGCAACAGGCAAGTTGATTCGCGGGTTTGAGTCCAAAAAACAGCGTTCTGGCGCGATTCCAGATTGCCAGGATGTGCAGTAACCTGGATTCGCGGCGTTGCAGCCCCAGGAATGGTTTCCAACGGGGCATGTCCAGCAGTAAAAAGCAATGTTTGAGGGGACCTTTGGCGAGGGAACTTGGAGGGAGGGTGTATTGCAACATCGTTGATGCGTTTTGCGTTTACACTGGTCCTCCTCCTCCTCCTCCTCCTCCTCCTCCCCCTCCTCCTCCTCCTCCTCCTCGTCCTCCTCCTCCTCCTCCTCCTCTCGAATAAGGACTTCGGCACAAACAAACAATTCTGGAGGTCCGCGCGGATTTCTCGGATCCGTGCTGCACGGACCTAGGAGGCGCCTCTGGCATCGCCCCTTGCGCGCTCCCCGCGCTAGGGATAAGGGTCCTCCTCCTCCTCCTCCTCCTCCTCCTCGTCACCCCAGCACCCTGGGGCTGGGATCTCCCATGTGTGTATATATGTATATATATACATATATATATATATATATATATATATATATATATATGTGTGTGTGTGTGTGTGCATGCATGCATGCATGCATGCAGGTAGGCAGGCAGTCAGGCATGCATGCATGCATGCATACATGCATACATACATACATACATACATACATACATACCTCCATACACACATACATCCATCAATACATCCATACATACATACATACAAACACACATACACGTACATATACACGTGCACATACAGATACACAAACATATACACACACAAACACATACACATACACACACATACATGCATACATACACATACCTACCTACCTACCTACCTACCTACATACATACATACATACATGTATGCATGCATACATACATATCTGCATACGTACAAACATGTTTACACACATACACACACATATACCACTACCTACACACATACATGCATGCATGCATCCATCCATCCATCCATCCATACATACATACATACATACATGCATGCATACATACGTATGTATACACACCGCAATTCATCGTGTACTCCTTAACCTGTCCCTTCTCCATCGTTCCACCACGAAGAGCGGGGAAAGCAGGCTATCTCTGATCCCTCAACGGCTGGATGGCTGCTGGGGGGTCGGTCCACGATCGCCGACCAGCCTCGGTCCTCCGCAGGCGTTGGGGGGTGGAGGAGGCAGCGGGGGAGGGAAAGCAGAGCGGAGGAGGGGGGAGGGGGCATGAATAGGAAGAGAGATCGGGAGCGAAAGCGAAAAGGGAGAGAGGGAGTGAGAGGAAGAAAACAGGCAGGGCGAAGGGGAGGGGGGGGAGGGAGGCGGGCGGAGGGAACAGAAGAAAGGGGGCAGGGGGCAGCGGGTAGGGAGAAGAGTAGTGCGGAGACAAAGGGAGAGGGGGAGGGGGCACGAGGAGGAGGGGCAGGGAGGGTGAAAAAAGGGTTTCCATGATTTCCGCCATCACAGTAATGACTAAAGCTGAGCTCAGACTTTGGGGAACCCGCCACGGGAAATTATATCAAGCTACTCGCGGCGTGTCCTCGATATGGGTAAAACGCACGGCTTTGCTAGACCTCTGAGCTGGTCTTGGCCGTAGAAGCCACATGTGCGACAAAACCACAATCGAAGCACGTCATGAAAGTACAAAACGTGCGAGGGTGGGCCCAACCTCCAGCGATGTGTAAACGTCGCCATCGAAGGCAACGAAGCACCTCATCGTCGACGGCCTCAAGAGGCAAACACTCGCTTTGAAGCCACACACACGCAGCTCTGCAATCGAACTCGATGACCTACAAACGCGACAGGAGCGCCCATCCTCGGCCAGGACGTGCGGGGTCGCAAAGCGTGGAAGCACAATAGGGGCAGGAGGAGGAGGACGAGGAGGAGGAGGCGGGGGAGAAGGAGCACTGGCCTGGCGGGCCTGGCCCATCTTGGCGAGGCCCTCGGCCTGCAGCACCTCCAGGGCGGCCCGCAAGAGCCTGCGCCTCACCAGGACCGCCCTCCTTTCAGCGTCGAGCACCCGCGTGCGCTCGGCGAACCCCACGCGGGCGCGACTGGCTGCAGAACCAGCCAGTTCATCCACCGCCGTGTTGCCCTGCCCGAGCCACGGTGGAATCTGCCTCGCCAGAGCCTCTGGCCCGTCCAGGTGCGACGGCACCTCCAGCACGATGATGTGCTCTGGGGGCCGACCCTGCTGACGAAGCGAGTGGCCCATGGCTCGCCACAGATCGGCGTGCTCGCCCCGAAGCCGACTGGCCAGCCCAGCCCACCAGCCGCGGCCGACCTCGTCGCAGTCCGCGACGTAGACGACCCACCCCTCGGAGAGGCGGATGACCAACTCGAGCGCCGCGATCTCGCCTCGCGGAACCGTCTGCGATGGCCCAGGCAGCGGCCCCAGCACATGTGGGCCCAGCTGGAACGGGGAAAGGGACTCGATGACCGCGACCGCGATGCCGACGCGGCGCAGGCGGGGGTCACGCGTGTCCTGGCCAACCGACGCATCGCCGAACACAAGCAGCGGGCCATCCTCCGTGCCTCGCCCAAGACAACCTGCCACGATCTCACTGCTCATACGCTATGTCTGCCACTGCTCCACAGCCGTCGACGGAGTCACTCTCGTCCACGCCAACGGGGTGAAGCCTCTGAGCCAGAAACAGGGAAAAGCCTCGGACCCCGCGACCGCCATCGGCACGAGGTCACTGGAGTCCGCGAAAGCCTTGCTGCTGCTGTTGCAACTGCAGAGCCATGTGCGATGCAGGGCCGTCTCGACGCACTGCCCGCACCTGTCGCGCTGGCTGTCGTCGCGCAGGCCGGCCTCGAAACGTCGCTGGCTAGGCCAGGACCCGCCCACCGCGATGGCCACCATCAGCTCGGCGAGCTGGCGACCGCGATGGACGTGCTGCAAATCAGCTAAAAACTTCCTCAGGCTGAGAAAGTCGGACCCCTCCTCGAGCCCGCCGCCGCAGTAGTGCTCCGCAGCCTCGCGCCACTGCCTGCTCGCAAGTGAATCCACAAACTCCGAGATGAGTGGGGCGGCCTGGCCCATCGCACAGAAATCGGCACCACTGAAACTCCAGCCGTGCCTATCCTGAGAGATGCCACTCATCGCATCCCACTCAGTCGCCGAAATCGGGTTCCACCCGGCATGTATGCGATGACCGCTGACACTGGACCGCGGACGTAACGGGCTCGATCGACTTCTGTCAGCCTGCTGAGCTGCTCGGCGATTCGCGGCCAAACACGGATGACCCCCGCCATGACCCGTGGTTCAGAAAGCCAGACATGAAACCACTGCTCCAAGCACTTCTCGGGCAAGACCAACCCTCGGTCACCGTCTGGCAGACGCAGGGCTAGCAGAGTCGTCTTGCAACGCCCTCTGCACAGGGAGCCCGCTGCAGCCGCCAGGCGGCGCCGCTGGATCACCGTGCCGCTGCCGTATACACCATGCACCTGATGCCCGCAGGTGGCAGCCGCCCGCGGGCCCGCCCGCTGGGACTTCGCCGTAGAGGCGAAGCGCCGCGACGCACGGGCGAAGCGCCGCAGCTTGTCGCGCTGAGTGCCACCCTTCACGACCTTCTTGCGCGCCGTCTCCCTCGACTGCCTCTTGTCGCCCCCAAGGTCCACTCCCAGGCAGGCGGTCTGCGGGGCGGCCTTGACATACACCGACTTCCTGCGGAGGACCTTCACGATGAAGTGGGCGCCCTCAGGGCGCGAGCGCGTGGCCACACTCTTCGGGGAGAGGCTCAGTTGCTGCTCCTTGAGAAAACGTACCGTCGCCGCAATGCCCTTGCATAGGGTGGCCCGCACGCGTCGCCTCGAACCCACTAACCTCTGAGACAGGTCGTCTATCCAGAGACGTTCAGACAACGTGGGACACGCAATGCATAACTTCTGAACAACCCAAAAAGCCATGCACCTCGCAGAACGTGCGCCGTTGCGAAGGCCCTGAACCACCGACCTCGCCGGTTGAAGTAGCCCCAAAAAGACTCCAGTTGGGTGAGTGTCCCCGGGCACATGCACAACTGCAGCTCGAGGAACAGCACCACGGGAGGGAACCCGAGCTTGATGGCCCCCTTGACAAGGGGGCCAAACTCGATGCTGTCGTAATAGGACTCGACATCTGCCCGCGAGTGTCCGCGTGCGAGGTCCAGCTTGCTAGCCACTTCATCGTCGAGGGCGCGCGCGAAGGCTTCGCGCAATACGCTGTTGCTGGCCACCGCGGCATCCCACGCTGGTTCCTGCTCAACTGCCCACTGCCGCATCAATGGCTCGCGACGCATCGACCATATACGGCAGAACATCGCAAGAATACATATGACACGATCACCGCCATCCTTTTTCCAGGAAGACGGCCTACCACGGTCAAAACTTGCCATGCCCATGATAATCCTTCCTCGATCATCTGATAGAGCTGGAATAGCTCCTCGAGCGCCACGCCGGGGAGCCTTTGCACATCGACGGGGGACATCTGGTCTATCCTCAATCCAGCCGTACCCTTCATACTGGAGAGGGCGACACGCAACTCACTCACAGTGATGGGCACTAAAGGCTCGATGGCAGCATGCTCACGTATACATTTACAAATATCCTCCACCATTCCGCGTGATAACGGCTCCAAACGCCAGAGCTTGTGATATTTCTGCACCTCGAGACCAATGGTGTCCATCGGGTGGACGAAGCATTGCTGGCCCAAATGCAATTCGTCGGCGACTGGCTGCGGATCCTTCAAACTTTCGCGAACCACTCCGACCGCTGGCGCCGAGGCAATCCATTCCTGAAAACCCTTCAAAGAAGCACAGGCGGCACGCGACTCCGCCGCCCGAGTGCCTCGAAAAGACCAGGCCCCCAATAACTTGAGACGCTCGATACTGACATGCTCCAAGGCTAACGCCGACCAGACACTGGAACGACCCTGCTTGATCGCGCCCGCCCCCTCGGGGGCGCTGGCGGCTATCCGCGCCGCTGCCGCGCAGAGGTGCTGAGTTGGCACTGGCCCGTCGATGCCTGAGGAGCTTCTGGATAACCGGCTGAGCGCTGGACCCTGTCACGCAGCGGCTGCTCGCGCAGATGCGCTGCCTGATGAACAGGAGCCGCGACTAGCTGAAATCCTCGGGCACGCGATTGCCGAGGGGGATCTTGCTCGCACTGCAACGCAACCGTTCGCTCCACGGACTCGATCCAAGCGCCGTATCGATTACTGATCGGACGGATGTGCTGCTGCCCGATCTGACAGGCCAGAGACTGACGTACCGCGGGTAAAACTTCGTTGCGAGAGCGTTGAGGCCAGCCGACTCGAGCCGAGGCGACGGACCAAATAGCAGCAGAGATGGGAAAAGACGGAGAGGCAGCAGCAGAGGCAGCGGAGTGGGATGCACTTGGACCAGCTCCACCGGGGTCAACCTCGGGACCATCGCTGGGTTGGGCCCAACACTCCCCCGCCGCAGGTGAAATCGCATATGAATTATCTGGTGGAATGCTCGCAGACTCCCCACAGGGAACCCGACTATCCTGCATGGGGCCTTTAAGGGGAACTCCAACTCCAGACCTGGGGGCAGGGCGCAAGACCGTTTCGGGGCTCTCGGTCCGCACTGCAGGCTGAAAACAAGATTCGCGGGCCCAAGGGTCCTCTTCCCCTTCGGGCTCGAAACTAAACTCGTCAAACTCCTCAAGCGGCACCTCGCCGAAAGCAGGCGCGGACGCACCGGGGGTGCCCGAACCGCCCTCGCTTTGCAAATCCACCCTGCTACCTGTCTCAGCAGGCCGCCTCCGGACATCAGAGTACAGCTCATTGCTAATCAAACTGATTCTCTCTCTAGCGAGCTCACGCTGGGCGATGCGCACGCCGCGTGCCTTACTTGGAGCCCGCCGCGGGGCCCACACTCGGCCTCTCCACGCGAGGCGAATGGCGTGCACAGATGAGCACCCGCATCACTAATGGCTGACCAGTTCCCTGCAAAGACATGGATCACCCGCAGCGGGGCCCCCATGGAATGTGCGACACGGCGCAGGCGGCACCAGCGATGATATAATCCAAGCGTGAGTTCCCTGAACCACCCATGCACGTGCACTCCACGGACGAGCTCAAAATGTGCCCGCCAATCTTCTGCAGAAACTGAAAATTGGCCATGGTATGGATATCCATGTTTAAATCGCCGGTGGTACACCAAGGGGGCTGGAGGCTCCGCGCGAAAGCCACGACCTCGCCGATCCTCATGACGTTCCTCATGGTAAAACCAATGGAATGGTGCCCGTAGAAGAGCACCACAACAGAAGAATAACCCTTCCAGTGGATCAGCACGGGCAGGAAGCCGTCGAAGGAGACGCCCCCCCCGGCGCAGTAGGCTGGCAGGTCGCGCGCCTTCTCGCAGAAGCGCTGGACGTGCCTGTAGTTCCTGGCCAGGATGACCCCCCCGCCTTCCGCGGCCCTCTCGCGAGCCGCCGCGGACTTCCCCCTGCCCGCGCCTCTCGCGCCGTCGTCGAGATAGCGCCACTCGGTCGCCCCCACTTTGCGCGCCCACTCGCTGCGAGCGGGCCCGCCCCCCAGCGCGCGCGACTCGACAACCGCATATATTGATACTGATTATTGACCTCGCTGCTGTTGAGGCAGGCCCAAGACCGCTTGCCCCGGACGGTGATATTCGCGAAGAACATATTGCACTCCCGCCCCTCCACCTCGTCGGGTGCTGCCGCCGCAGACTCCTGGGCCCGCGCCGCAGCGCCCCGCGGCCCCGCTGGCGGCCGGGCTGAAGGGGCCGCTGGGCCTCCAGCCTCCCGCCCGCGGGGTCACTGGCCCGCTTCCCCCGGCTCGCCCGCGGGGGCGTCGGCAGCCTGCGCCGCGGCGGCTGCGCCAGCCTCGCGCGCCCCGCGGATGCGCCCCACCTCGGCGTCGATCTCCTCCTGGGACGGGCCCGCTGGAACTGGTGCTGCTGGAGACGACGAGGGGGCATCGCCTGCAGCGGCCGTCTCTGAGCCCACCTTCCTCTTCTTCTGCGTGCGCTCCTCGATCTTCTGCTTGATCTCAGTGACGGGCGCCTTCCACTGATTGATCTCCTCTGCCTCGGCCGAGAAGTTAGACTTGGCCGCTTGTAATTCAGCCTCGAATTGCTTGAGCTTCAGGCGCTCGACCTCCGTGCACTCGAGCGAGTCCAACTCCTCTAAGAGGGCCGCGTCCCACTGCAAGTCGATGAAGGTGGCGCCACTGCCTCCAGATGGAGGGGAGGGACTGGTGCACTCGACTACGCCCACCTCGCGGGCCATGGCCTTGGCAGCAACCTTCCGACTGAGCTCCACCGTGGCCAGGGCCCTGATCGCCTCGGCTTCTCGAGCCTTGTCTGTGTCGAGACTATCCCTGCATCGCTGCACATGCGCCGAGGCCTGCTCGCACTGCAAGGACGCCAGCTTCCATACCCCTTCTGCCCTGCGCACTGCCTCTGCCGCGGCAATCGCCGGCTGGGCCTGCGCGGGGGAGGCGCTCTTCGTCACCTGCTCGTGCAGGACCTGCTTCAGCGCGGGGTCGGTGGTCATCGAGGCTGCCTGCGCCATAAGACCCCCGACTGTGGGCTGGCGGGTGCTGGGGTCGACGAGCGGCACGACGTTGTCTCCCTTCGGCGGCTTGACCGCATGGAGCTTGACCTGCCGCCCGCATTTCCTGCATTTGCAACTATTCGCCTGCAAGTTGTCATTGTACTCATGTGTGCCACAAGAGTTGCAGGTTGACCACGCTTGTTGCTGCGTGGGCGCCATGGCTGCACCTCTCTTAGCCAGCGAGAGCGCCAACTGTAAACGAAGCTGGTGGCTCGCTGCCCCTCAAGCACCGCGGGGAAACGAGAGGCCTTGGCGCGAGACAACAACGCGATGCGCTCGTGCCAATATGTGCTTGGGCAGGTGAAAAAAGAGTGACGAAAGAGGAAGAAGGCTTGCAAGGGAGAGCATGGACTCTGGACGATCGCTTGGCCTTGGTCCGAAAATCCAAACAACAAACATGTCATGACTGATCGTTCTCCGCTGCTCGCGTGCAACTTGACATTTATTTATACATACCCCAAGCCCTCGAGATTCGCCCTCGTCGCCTTCGACCATGTCCCGTTTTAATGGGTGTCCCTTGCCTGCCATACGTAGCTGGCACGGCCCTCAAACAGTGCCTCGAGGCACGGAGTGGGCGTGTCCACAGGTCTCCTCCTGCAGTTTGCAATCCTCAATCCTCAGTCCTCGGGATTGAGGATTCAGGGGCTTGGGCCGAAAAGTCCCAGCTTCTCCGGGTCCTGGCGCGCGCCCCCTGGGGTTTGCCGGGTCTTGTCGCCCGACTTTTTCGGGCCCATGGGGGCCCCAAGTCGGACCACGAGGGCCCCAAGCAGCCCCCAAGACGGCCCAAGGAGGCCCCGAGACGCCGAACAATCGCTTCAAAAACGTGCGTGATGACTCCTGGATGGTCCAAAAGGGCTCCCAGACGTCCTAAAAGGCTTCCAAGAGGCCTCCCAAGAGGGCCCCAAAAGGCCAAAATCACTGACCCCCCTTAGGTTTTTCTAACATTTTGGTGTTCTCGCCCTTTCGGCTTCCAAACGCTCCCGGACGGCCCAGATCGCCCCAAGACGGCAGGCCTCCAAGAGGGCCCCACAACAGCCCAAGAGGGCCCCACAACAGCCCAAGAGGCGCCCAAAATGCACCAAAAGTGCCCCAAGTCAGCCCCAAAAGGAGCCCAAAAGAGGGAACAGGAATCGAAAACCCCCCAGCCTCCCGCCCCAAGAGGCCCCCAGGAAACCCTACGAGGCGCCCAGGAGGCCCCAAGGGGCCTCCAAGAAGCCCGCAAGACGCCCCAAGAGGCCCCCAAGAGGCCCCAAGCGGCCCCCACTAGGCGTCCAAACTGCCCCAAAGAGGCCCCCGAAAAGCCGCCCACGAGATGCCGACGAACATCCGATAGTCTTCATAACCACAACCCAGGCACGGTGGCGTGATGGTCCAAAGGCCACTTGATCCGCCGCCCCCTGTCGATTCATCGCGGGGGTGCCTGGCGTGCAGAATCCTATCGGCTTTGGTTTTGGTTCTTTTTTCAAAAGAACTCCCCCTGGGGTTTCGGCCCGTCCCGCCGGCCACCCGGAAGACCCGGTTGCCAACGGTTTTCCTGCCCCAGACGGCCCCAGATGGCCTCCAAGACGGCCAAGATGCCTCCAAGACGGCCAAGATGGCCTCCGAGACGGCCCCGAAGCGCCCCAAGAGGGCCCACAGTCGGCCCATGGAGGCCACCAAGACGGCTTCCGACGGCGTCAGACGTGCCAGGAACCCACCAAGATGGCCGAAGTTGACTCGAAGCTGGCCCAAGACGGCCCAAGAGGCCTCCAAGAGGGCCTCCAGGAAGGCCAGAAAAAGCAAAAAAGCACTGATTGTCCGTAGGTTTTTGAAGGATTTTGACATTTGCTTCGTTTCGGCCTTCCGACGGCCCGAGACGGCCCAAGAGCCCCCAAAGATCCCCGAAAGATCGCCCAAGAGGCCTCCAAGATGGCCCCAGAACGGCCCTAGAGGCCCCCAAGACGGCGCCAAGAGGCCCCCAAGATGGCCCAGGAGGCCTTTGAAGACGCCCAAGATGGCCTCCAAGACGGCCCTGGAGCATTCCAAGAGGCCCCAAGTCGGCCCAGGGAGACTCCCCAAACGGCTTTCGACGGCGTCGGACGGGCCAGGGGCCCACCAAGACGGCCGAAGATGGCGCTAAGACGGCCCAAGAGGCCTCAAAGAGGGCCTCTCCAGGAAGGACTGAAAAAGCAGAAATTGTTGATTTCCCATGAGCTTTGGAAGGATTGTAGCATTTGCTTTTTTTCTGTCTTCCGACGGCCCGAGACGGCCCAAGTGCCCCCAAAGATCACCCAAGAGGCCCAATACTGCCCCAAGAGGCCCCCAAGACGGCCCTGGAGGCCTCCAAGACGCCCCAAGATGGCCTCCAAGACGGGCCAAGAGCTCTCCAAGACGTCCTCCAAGAAGGCCAGAAAATGTCAAAATGGTCTCCCGACGGCCAAGATGACCTTCAAGATGCCCACGTGTTCCCCGAAAGTGTTCCAAACCGATTCGGGGAACACATGGTCCGATAGCGTGGCAGGTCTGGCCTCAACGTTCGGCCGCATAGGCGCTTCCAAAAAGGCAGGGGGCAGTTGCGGGCAGAAGCCCCGCAACTGCCCAAGAGGCCCGGGGGGGCCTCGAAGAGGCCCCCCCGGGCCTCTTCGAGCCACCCCGGGGCCTCCCCGCAACTGCACAAGAGGCCCCGAAGAGGCCAACCACGAGATCCCAACCAACATCCATGAGGCCTCTAACCCACCACCCAGGCACGGTGGCGGGATAAGCCGAAGGCCACTAAATCCGCCGCCCCCTGTCGATTCATCGCAGGGATGCCTGGCGTGCTAGACTGTTTCGGTTTTGGTTTTGGTTCTTTTTCCAAAAGAACTCCCCCTGGGGCTTCGGCCCGTCCCGCCAGGGTCCCAGGAAGGATCTCAAAACTTGGTTGCAAAGGTTTTCCCTGCTCCAGATGGTTCCAAGACGGCCCAAGATGGTCTCCAAGATGCATCCAAGACGGCCAAGATGGCCTCCAACACGGCGAAGATGGCTCCAAGATGCCTCCAAAACGAGTCAAGATTCATCCAAAACGGCCTAAGATAGCCTCAAGATGGCCCCAGACGGCCCAAAAGGCCTCCAAGAACGCCCACGAGGCGTCGAAGAGGTCCTCCAGGAAGGTCCGAAGACGCCAAAATCGTTGATTGTCCGTTGATTTGTTGTAAGGATTTTGGGATGTGCGCCTCTTCGACTTTCCGACGGCCCGTGACGGCCCCAGAGGCCGCCAAGGTCGCCCCAAGATCGCCCAAGAGGCCTCCAAGATGGCCCCATAACGGCCCAAGAGGCCCCCAAGAACGCCCCAAGAGAGCGCCAAGACGGCCCAAGAGGCCTCGAAGACACCCAAGATGGCCTCTAAGACGGCCCTGGAGCACCCCAAGAGGGCCCCAAGTGGGCCCAGAAAGGCCCCCGAAACGGCTTCCGACGGCGTCAGACGGGCCAGGAGCCCACCAAGATGGCCGAAGGTGGCTCGCAGCTGGCCCAAGACGGCCCAAGAGGCCTCCAAGAGGGCCTCCAGGAAGACCAGAAAAGGCAAACAAATGTGATTTTCAAATGGTTTTTGAAGGATTTTCGTTTCGGCCTTCCGACGGCCCGAGACGGTCCAAGAGCTCCCAAAAATCGCACAAGGATCGCCCAATAGGCCTCCAAGATGGCCCCAAAACAGCCCAAGAGGCCCCCAGAGGTCCCCAAGACGACCCAAGAGGCCTCCAAGACGCTCAAGATGGCCTCCAAGACGGCCCACGAGCCCTCCAAGACGTCCTCCAAGAAGGCCCGAAAGAGTCAAAATGGCCTCCAGGCGGCCAAGATGACCTTCAAGATGCCCACGTGTTCCCTGAAGGTTTTCCAAACCGATTCGGGTAACACATGGTCCGATAGCGTGGCAGGTCTGGCCTCAACGTTCGGCCGCATAGGCGCTTCCAAAAAGGCAGGGGGCAGTTGCGGGCAGAAGCCCCGACGGCCAGAAAAGGTCAAAATGGTCTCCCGACGGCCAAGATGACCTTCAAGATGCCCACGTGTTCCCCGAAGGTTTTCCCAACCGATTCGGGAAACACATGGTCCGATAGCTTGGCAGGTCTGGCCTCAACGTTCGGCCACATGGGCGCTTCCACAAAGGCAGGGGGCGGTTGTGATTCGCCGTAGGCGTCTTCGATCCGCCGCCCCCTGTCGATTCATCGCAGGGGTGCCTGGCGTGCTGAACCCTGTCGGTTTTGGTTTTGGTTCTTTTTCCAAAAGAACTCCCCCTGGGGCTCCAGCGTCCCGCCCGGGTCCCGGGAAGGATCTCAAAACCTGGTTGTAAAGATTTTCCCTGCTCCAGATGGCTCCAAGACGGCCCAAGATGGTCTCCAAGATGCATCCAAGACGGCCAAGATGGCCTCCAAGACGGCGAAGATGGCTCCAAGATGCCTCCCAGACGAGTCAAGATTCATCCAAGACGGCCTAAGATAGCCTCAAGATGGCCCCAGACGGCCCAAAAGGCCTCCGAGAACGCCCACGAGACGTCGAAGAGGTCCTCCAGGAAGGCCCGACGAGGCCAAAACCGTTGATTTTCATTAGGTTTTGTAAGGATTTGGGGATGTGCGCCTCTTTGGCCTTCCGACGGCCCAAGACGGCCCAAGAGGTCCCCAAGATCGGCGCAAGATCGCCCAAGAGGCCTCCAAGAGAGCCCCATGACTGCCCAAGAGGCCTCCAAGACGCCCAAGATGGCCTCCATGACGGCCCCGAAGCGCTCCAAGAGGAGCCACAGTCGGCCCAGAAAGGCCCTCCAAGACGGTTTCCGACGGCGTCGGACGGGCCAGGAACCCACCAAGACGACCGAAGTTGGCTCGAAGCTGGCCCAAGACGGCCCAAGAGGCCTCCAAGAGGGCCTCCAGGAAGGCCCGAAGAGGCCAAAAACATGTATTTTCCTTAGGTTGTTGAAGGATTTTGACATTTGCTTCTTTTCGGCCTTCCGACGACGGCCCAAGAGCACCTAAAGATCGCCCAAACATCGCCCAAGAGGCCTCTAAGATGGCACCAGAACGGCCCAAGAGGCCCCCAAAGATCACCCAAGAGGCCCCCAAGACGGCCCAGGAGGCCTTTAGGTCACCCAAGTTGGCCTCCAAGACGGCCCTGGAGCATTCCAAGAGGCCCCAAGTCGGCCCAGAGAGGCTCCCCAAACGGCTTCCGACGGCGTCGGACGGGCCAAGAGCCCACCAAGACGGCCGAAGATGGCCCTAAGATGGCCCAAGACGGCCCAAGAGGCCTCCAACAGGGCCTCCAGGAAGGCCCGAAAAGGCCAACATCATAGATTTCCCATGAGTTGTTGTTAAATGATTTTGGCAGTTGCTGTCTGTCCAGCCTTCCGACGGCCCGAGACGGCCCAAGTGCCCCCAAAGATCGCCCAATAGGCCCAAGACTGCCCCAAGAGGCCCCCAAGACGACTCAAGGGGCCTCCAAGACGCTCAAGATGGCCTCCAAGACAGGCCAAGAGCCCTCCAAGACGTCCTCCAAGAAGGCCAGAAAATGTCAAAATGGTCTCCCGACGGCCAAGATGACCTTCAAGATGCCCGCGTGTTCCCCGAAGGTTTCCCAAACCGATTCGGGGAACACATGGTCCGATAGCTTGGCAAGTATGGCCCCAACGTTCGGCCACATAGACACTTCCAAAAAGGCAGGGGGCGGCGGTGAATCGCCGTAGGCGTCTTCGATCCACCGCCCCCTGCGGTCTTGCCACAAGGGCGCCCAGCGTGCTGAATCCTAGACGGGATGGTTCGAATTCCTTGTCCAAAAGAACTCTCCATGGGGTTTCGGCCCGTCCTGCCAGCCACCCGAAAGGCTCGCAAGTCTTCGAAACGTATCCCCTGACGGCTCAAGATGGCTTTCAAGACCGTCAAGCTGGCCCAAGATGGCCTCCAAAGATGCCTCCAAGATGGCCTCGAAGACGGTCACGATTGCTTCAAGATGCCTCCAAGACGGCCCAGAATGCTTCCCAAATGGCACAATATAGCTCCAAAATGGCCCACGATGGCCCAAAAGGCCCCCAAGAGGTTTCCACGACGGCCTAAGAAGCCTCCAAGAGGGCCTCCAGAAGGCCCGAAGAGGCCAACATGATTGATTGTCCTTTGGTGTTTGAAGGATGTTAGCAGTTGCTTTGTTTCTGCCTTCCGACGGCCCGAGACGGCCCCAGAGCCCCCAAAGATCGCCCCAAGATCGCCCAAGAGGCCTCCAAGATGGCACCAGAACGGCCCACGCAAGAGGCCCCCAAAACACCCAAGATGGCTTCCAAGACGGCCCTGGGGCACCCCAAGATAGCCCCCAAGTCGGCCCAGAGATGCATCCAAGACAGCTTCCGACAGCGTCAGACGGCCCGAAACGGCCCAAGAGCCACCAAAGATCGCCCCAAGATCGCCCAAGAGGGCTCCAGAATGGCACCAGAGCGGCCCAAGAATCCCCCCAAAGGGCTCCAAGTCGACCCAGACAGGCCCCCATGATGGCACCCGCTGGCGTCAGACGGGCCAGGAATACCCTAAGACGGCCAAAGAGGCCCCCGAGAAGCCCGCAAAGACCCCCAAGAGGCCCACGGAGGCCTCCAAGTTGCCTCCAAGAGGCCCCCCAGGAAGCTCCCAGGAGGCCCCGACAGTGCCCCAGAGGCTCCCAAGATACCACACCCTCATCCTTCTCCTGACCTTCCCCGCCATCCTCCCCCAAGCGTTCCCCGAAAGATTTCTGCAACTGCTGGGGGAACACATGGCCCGATAGCTTGGAAGAGTCCTTGCCGCAACGCTCGGCCACACGAGCGATTCCAGAAGGCACAGGGCAGCAGTGGCTCGCCGTAGGCGTCTTCGATCCGCCGCCCCCTGCTGGCTTGCCACAGGGGTGCCTGGCGTGCTAGATGTCCTGGGGATGGGTCGAATTCTTTACCAAAAGAACTCCCCCTGGGGGTTCGGCGCATGTCGCTGGTCACCTGGAAGGCCGCACAGTCCCCCGAAACAATTGCCCAGGTGCCTCCAGCATAACAATGTGGCCGAAGATGGGCTCCAAGTTCGTTGAAAAGGGTCCAATTTGGCCTCCAAGATTGCCCAAAAGGGTCCAAGATGACTCCAAGTCGCGTAGATGTCGTCGGCGGCGTCGCTGAGGTTGGAGAGACGTTGATAGGCGTAAGTGTCGTCGGCGGTTTCGCTGACAGGGAGAAGAGCTGATAGGCGTAGATGCAGTCGGCGGCGTCGCTGACGTTGGTGAAGAGCTGTTGGGAATAATTGGCGTCGGCGGCGTCGCTGCCGTGGGGGTACGGGTGGTAGGCGCAGATGAGCTCGTCGGCTGCTTTGCTGACGGGGGAGAACAACTGCACCCGCAGCGACACGAAGACGCTGGTCTTTGATTCCGTGGTTCTCCTCGACGGCGTCGTCTTGTCGAACACTGGGCCCCGCAGGGCTGGATATGGATAGCGCCGCGCCAGACAGGTGGAGGGGGCACGCCCCTCGCTACCACCACGATAAAGACTGATCGCGGAGCAATGCTCTTCTGCACGTACTGCGAAAGGCGTGGTTCTGATGCCAAGGGCGTCAAAATGCGTTGGGCGAACCTGGCAGGTGGAAAAGGGAGGTCAGCTATAGCTAGAGGAGGAGGAGGAGGAGGAGGAGGAGGAGGAGGAGGAGGAGGAGGAGAAGGGGGAGGGGGAGGGGGACAAGTTAGGTGCGCTCGCGTCAACATCTGACATCCTACCCCTCCCTCCCATCCCTTACCATGGCGCTGATTTTCTCTATCCGCGGACGCGTGTCGTAGCGGACCTGTGGCTCGCGCGCGCGTGTGCGTAGTGGGTGGTGGTGCGCGTGCGTGCGTGCGTGTGTGCGTGGTTGTGGTTGTTGTGGTGGTGGTGTGTATGTGTGTGTGTGTGTGTGTGCGTGTGTGCGCGTGTGCTGTGGTGTGACGTGGTGTGGCGTCTTGGTGGTTTGGTGGTGGGCCAGGTGCGTACGTGCGTGATGGCGGTGGTGGTGGTGGCGGTGGTGTGTGTGTGTGTGTGTCTGTGTGTGCGTGTGTGCGTGTGTGCGTGTGTGCGTGTGTGTGTGTGTGTGTGTGTGTGTGTGTGTGCGTGCGTGCGTGCGTGCGTGCGTGCGTGCGTGCGTGCGTGCGTGCGTGTGTGTCTGTGTGTGCGCGCGTGTGATGTGGTGTGACGCGGTGTAGCGTGGTGGTGGTGGGTGGGGTAGTGCGGTGGTGGTGGCGGTGCGCGGTGGTGGTGCGCGTGCGTGCGTGCGTTGGTGGGTGGAAGTGGCGGTGGGTGTGCGTGCGGCGGGGCGGGGCGTGGTGCGGCGCGGTGGTGGCGGGCGGATGGGCGCGCGAGAAAGAGGCCCGCGCTGGGGCGAGAACGCCATCCTGAACGACGGAGGCAAAACACCGATCCGAAAATGAGGCCCACGCTGCAGCGGGAGCACGATTCGGAACGATTCGGGACCAGAAATGAGGCCGTCGCCTCAGCGAGAGCAACGTTTTGAAAAAAACCCAGGCGGAAACCCAACTCCCGGGAATCCTATGTGTAAAAAAACAGTACGCGGGGGGGGGTCGAATATTTTCAGGCCGCCTTCGGGGGAAGAGGGAGAGTAGTATTCATATTGAGTAATTGTGGAGGGGGAGGAGGAGGAGGAGGAGGAGGAGGAGGAGGAGGAGGAGGAGGAAGAGGAGAAGGAGGAGGAATCACCATGGTAAGCCTACTCCATCTTCGTTGCTCGCGCGTACCATGTGTACGTCCATACCCTCGATGCTCGCCCCCTTCGTCACCTCTTCGTCTTCGACCGTACCACCTTTGAGGGTATATGAAGGGGCCCCAGGACACACAAATAAAGACACACAAATAAACATATTCCCAATATTTTCCGATATTTTCTGGGTCTTCGTCTTCCCCCCCACTTCCCATATGTTCATGTTCCCGTATTTTCTAGGGGATCGACGATTAATTGTCTGTGTGTTTCTTCCCCTCCTGACATGTATACGCCCAAGCCCTCGATGCTCGCCCCCTTCGTCACCCCTCCGCCTTCGACCGTACCGCCTTCGAGGGCATGGCTGCCTCGTCTGCCACGTGCAGTTGGCGCGGACCCTGAAGCTGGAGCAAGCGAGAGAGCGGGAACGAGAGGGGAGGAAGACGGAAAGAGATGGGAGCATCGCTCGGGGAGACGTATCAGAGTCGGGTACGGTAGAGGAAAGAGAACTATGCACATACACCGATTCTGGCCAGGACCATCCTGAGCCCAGGATCGGTGCATACGCCCTCTTACCTTGGCCAGGAAAGTATATGCACCGATCCTGGGTCAAGGACGGGCGTTGTCAGGATCGGTGCATGTGCATAGTTCTCTTCGCCCGATACGGGTGACGCGGGCTGGCACGACGGGGCACACATGAAAACGACGTGACCCAATCTGAAATTCGACGCGAACTCCCGCTGCAAACATGCCACGAAAACGGGACCGTCAAAGTCCGGGCCGCGCTCGTCAGAAATCTCCGGCAGACCCGCGTTCCGGCTCACCCGCCTCCCCGAGCCGAGGGCCGAAGGGGGGAGCGAAAAGCAGGAGCATCAGCACGCGGACCCTCAAGGGCGGGGGGTGTCGGGAGCGGCCAAGAGGGGGGTGTCCAAGAGGGGGGGGTGCAAATCATGACCGGCGGCATGTGCGCGGCCCAGCGGGGAGGCCAGGTACGTCATAAAATAAGAGGAAGAGGCGCCGTGAAATCTGGGGAAATATCATGGCCCCCGCCATGATATCCACCCCCCCCTAGTCATCACCCCCCTCTTTTCCGCCCCCGAGGGTGGGCGGGCGGACCCAGCGGTCGAGTCGAACGGGCGAGCCCTCACGGGCGGGCCGGGCGGGCGAGACGACGTGACATCCAAGCGGGCAGACGGGCCTCCGAAGAGGTGAGCCGGCGGGCCCCCACAGTCGACCCGTAGGGTAAGGAGGCGCGGCAAGGACGCAGGGGCCCTGTCGGGCCGGGCGAAAGGGGGGGATTGGGAAAGGGGGGGGTACGAAATCTGCTGCATGCAGCTGGTTTCGGCCTCACCGAGGGGCCCATTCCTCGAGACATGGCCGCCTCCGGCGCCGGGAAAATCAGCTACGTGAGCTGATTTTCAAACCCCCGCTTTGCTATCCCCCCCTTTCGCCCGACCCGACCCTGGAAGGCCACGTCGACGCTTTTCCGGGCGGGGCGCGGCCAACGAAAGTGGCCAGGGATGGACCGAGGAGGCAAGCATGCAAGGGTACTCCAGATTTCGTAATAAAGGGAGGGGGGTCTCATTTCGGGGGGGTCTCTTCCAGGCTATCTTGGAGGGCCTGGGGGGGTCTGGGGACGACGTTTTGGAGGGTTCTCCCACGGTGGAGGTCTGAAATGGCTTGTCTTGGAAGGTCCAGACCCCCTCCCTTTTATTACGAAATCTGGAGTACCCGTCGGTCGGAAGCAGGAGGCAGAAGCATGAAGTGGGAAGGCGGTGGAAGTAGACTGGGGTCCCCGCCCACCTCCCGAAGAGGAGGGAAAAGAGGGAAGGCCGCTCGACTCCTGAAGCAGGAAGGCGCCAGAAGTGGACTGGGAGGTGGGCATCCAGAAGTACCCCTGGGACGGTTGGCCATCCGCACTGTGCGGGTTGACTGCAGCGGGCGGGCGGGCCGGGGGGGTGCACCCCAGCGGGCGGGACGGACCGGCCGCGGGGGGGCGGGCGGGCGGGCTCTCCGGGCAGGCGGGCAGGGCGGGCCACCACGGGTGGGGCGGCCGGGCGGGCCCTCGCAGGCGGGTGGGGCACGGAGGCGAACGGCGCAACTCGCCGTCGCTCGGACGTCCATTCCCCGTGCGTGTTTCGGTTTCGTGCGTGGTTTTCTTCGCGAGATGATCCAAGCTGCTCTTCGACAGCCCTCGCCGAGAAGAAAATGCACACGCCCGAGCGATGCCAAGATAAATCCGCCGGCCCCCTTGTGGGGCCACCAGGCTGTAGGAGCGCGGTTCGCAGTTTCCTGTACCAGTTGTAGCTTGTAGTTTCCAGTGTTACAGTTCTGCTTCTTGCTGGTTACTGTAACTAGTTGACTTATTGCTGGTTACTGTAACTAGTTGATTGACCGCGCGAGGGGGGGGGAGGCCCAAACCAGATTTTTAGCACCCCCTGGGCGCGTTGTCTGAATTGCTGGGGGGGCTCGAAATCGACACCCCTCACGCAGATCCGCGGGGTCAGGGTCCAAAAACACAGGGGATTTGCCACATTTCTGAAATTCGGTGCCACCCCTCACGCAGATCCGCGGGGTCAGGGTCCAAAAACACAGGGATTTGCCACATTTCTGAAATTCGGTGCCACCCCTCACGCAGATCCGCGGGGTCAGGGTCCAAAAACACAGGGATTTGCCACATTTCTGAAATTCGGTGCCACCCCTCACGCAGATCCGCGGGGTCAGGGTCCAAAAACACAGGGATTTGCCACATTTCTGAAATTCGGTGCCACCCCTCACGCAGATCCGCGGGGTCAGGGTCCAAAAACACATGGGATTTGCCACATTTCTGAAATTCGGTGCCACCCCTCACGCAGATCCGCGGGGTCAGGGTCCAAAAACATGGGATTTGCCACATTTCTGAAATTCGGTGCCACCCCTCACGCAGATCCGCGGGGTCAGGGTCCAAAAACACAAGGGATTTGCCACATTTCTGAAATTCGGTGCCACCCCTCACGCAGATCCGCGGGGTCAGGGTCCAAAAACACAAGGGATTTGCCACATTTCTGAAATTCGATGCCACCCCTCACGCAGATCCGCGGGGTCAGGGTCCAAAAACACAGGGGATTTGCCACATTTCTGAAATTCGGTGCCACCCTTCACGCACATCCATCGCAAGGCGTGGTAACCCAAACTGCGAGAACTCCCTCGGCCCTTTAATCGCAAGGTGTGGTAACCAAGCCCGTAAACCATACACGTCTTACCAATCGCCAGGTGTGGTAACCCCTCTTGTGATCAGTTGGTTTTGCTGATTGCGAATCGGCTTCGCATGAAGTTTCGATACTGCTTCACGACAGCGCCAAGGCCTCATGACTTAGCTCTTCCATGGCCCATTCTCCGAGAGAGGGGGCCGGCGGCAGGGGGCGAAGCCCTTACGGATTACTGGGAAGCCGCAAGCGAGGGCCCGATTCCTGAGCAAACCGCGAGGAGGTATCATGAGAGAGCGCGACTGTTGAGAAAACTGCAACGGACTCTCGGGCGCGAGCGCGATGTGAGGACGTCTCGGGCGGACACCGCTTCGTGGAGTCCAGGGGGCCAAGAACCCAGTCTGACAAAACAATGAAACCTGCGCCACCCGGATTAGGGGTCTTCTCTCCTCCACGTGAAATCCAAGCAATTCTGAGCAATGCAACGCAGTTCAATACAAGCACTGCTTGGCATTTCATTGCCGTGCTCGGCATTGTTTGGACCCGTTGCTTGGCATCAATTGGAATCGTTGCTTGGCATTGCTGGACACTGTTTGGCGCTACGTACTTGGCATGATTGGACATTGGTTGGCATTGCCTGGCATGGCTTGGCATTGCTGGACATCGCTTGGCTTCGATTTGCGCGTCTGGGCATTGCTTCGAGCCGATAGGCGTTGGTGGACCTTGTGTTGGCATGAGTTTGGCTGGAAAGGCAGCAAAGAACCATGACAAAAAAACGAGGAAAGCAGCAAAGAACCATGACGACTAAGGAACCCGGGCAACGCCAAGCGCCGCGTGTGCACATAACGCCAGGTGCCGCCAACGCAAGGAAGCAAAACCAAGGGACCCGAGCAAAGCCGAGCGCCGCCAGCGTCAAGAAACCCAAACCAAAGAGCCCGAACAACGCCTCGGCACTGGGGCGTCGCACCCACTGGTTACTACAGAAAACAAGTAGGAACCCCTCAGGCACAGTCCAATTGATGAACAGGGTGCGAGAGAGAAGGAATGTCAGTTATCTATGTGCACCTGTGGCTAACAACAAAAGCTAGCCTTCAACAGCGGAAATGCACGACAACGGCAAACAAATAATCCTGAGCTGTTCGCCCGTTTCCTGCTCATCCCATCCCCCCCGCTGCTGCTGCTGCTGTGCTGCTGCTCATCTCGCACTCCCTGTTTTTCCTGCACCTCCCGACTCTCCAGATCATCCTGTTCGTCCAGATCCTCCGTCTCCTCCTCCTCCTCCGCCTCCTCCTCCTCCTCCTGATCATCCTGTTCGTCCAGATCCTGCTCCTCCTCGTCCTGATCACCCTGTTCGTCCAGATTCGCCTCCTCTTGCTTCTCCCTCTTCCTCCTCCTCCTCCTCCTCCTCCTCCTCCTCCTCACCCTGCTCCTGCTGCTCCTCGTCCTCCTCCTGCTCCTCCTCCTGCTCCTCCTCCTCCTCCTGATCGTCCTGTTCGTCCAAATCCGTCTCCTCCTCCTCCTCCTGCTCCTCCTTCTGTTCCCCTCGGGGATCTGTTCACGCGTGTGAATCTAAAGCTAGGCCAGCCGGGCGTTGCAAGATACTGCAGGATCCTACAGAATCCTGCAGGTTCCTGCACCCCAGCCCTGGCCAGCACAGCCCCGGCACTGCAGGATCTTGCAAGATCCGGCTCCCTGGGCGACCCCCGTTTGCATGAATCCCCGTCCCTTGGGCCCCTCCTCCTCCTCCTCCTCCTGCTCCCAAGCCGCCCCGCCGCAAGGTCCATGTTCGACTGGCGCTGCGGCGTCCGCCTCGACGCGCCGGACCGGATGGAGCCGACGGAGCTGAGCGACGGCCGCCTCCTGCCGGCGCGGCGAGCGGGGTGCATGCAGTGGGACCTGGGCCAGAAGAGCATCCCCTCAAGAACGTGAGATCCTCTGATGGCCAGAAGACACACAACATCCAAGGGTATCTTCCCCAGGATGCACAAGAACATCCAACAAGCACGAAGACCACCAGGGTACCCTCCCCGAAACGACCTCGACCCTATACCTCTGTCCGACCGTAGCGTGGCTTTGATGTGTCGTTCTTTGGTTCTGTGGTTCCAGGCAAGAGGGTCTTCGTAATGGGGTCGCAAAAAATATGCTATGTTTCATCCTGCGGCTCATGGTGAGTGGCCTCTCTCAGGCACAAAAGACACCAAATGCAACGCATTCTGCCCGCATCCAGCACGAACGATTGCACTAACTATTGCGCACATTGCTTTGGCAAAGGACCCAGTCGCCCGAACATGAGTTCTCTATCTCTATCTCTCTATCCATGTCTATACGCTGAACCAGAAGTGGCCGAGGGTCGCGCTCGCGAAAATTGCGGTGACTACCAACGCCACTGCGGTTCGCGCCCCCGCGGCGGCGCCAGTATGTAGGCGCATGTTCGCTGTGCAACTTCAAGCGATGGGAGTCGCCATCAATGCGCGTCCGCGGCGGGCGCGGAATTCCTCCTCAACCTCGGGCCGAAATGGGGGCGAAGCCAATCGGGCGGGCGGAGACAGGCGGGTGTTGACGACATTCCTGCGGCCAGAAGAAAAATCAGTGGAAACCACCACGTCGCGGCCGACAAAACACTCGAGATTGACCAAACATCCGCGTGCGCTTTATCCACTTCAACTCGCGGCTACAGGGTGGGAGTCGGAACTAAGAAGTGGGCGGTTGACGTGAAACGGCAGTTGGCAATAGTCCTCGCGAGTTGCACGCGCAAGTGATTTTCAACTGGCAGACAAGGGGCATAGTTCGGAGTCCCCTCCCATCCTGGCAATTAAGCATCGAATCCCTATCTGATTCGATGTCCAAAACTTGCGCTTCCGACCAAATTGACAACACTCCTCTGTAATGCTAATTGCTTTCTCAAACCATGGCAATTCGGATTTGCCCACTCAAAAAGAAGCTCTAAGCCTTTGAATGCGAACTTAAAGTATTACGTAACTCGATGCACTAAGTCTGGCACTTATGACTCCAGTTCGTCCGTAACTCAAAATCAAATGTGACCCTGGCAATGTAGATTAAAGTGCCTCTTTACGTCATAACTTATTTCTTAGTCTGGCAACTATGATTCACATCCCGCTGTAATTCCAAATCCTCCCTACCCGGACAATGGAGAATCACGTTCCTCACGATGTCAAATGTGTATCCAATCCTTACACTTCGAATTCGATGTTCTTGTAACTCAATCTCTCTGACCCTGGGAATGAAGAGTCGAACTCTTCCCTAACTCAAAATGTATTATGTCACCAATGCAACTGTGAGGTATGAATCCGGACCCTGACTATAAGTTCCGATTCCACCTGAAGCTTACATTCCCTTTTTAACCCTGGCGATTCATATGCGTTCCCCTCTCTAACTCAAAATGTCCGTCTAACCCGTACATGCCTGCGTCAACTATGTATGTGACTCGGCATCCAAACCTATAAGCTAAGATTCAATTACATTTGTAACGCGTAAGTTCACACCACCCCTTGCACTCATGAGTCGCCCTCCTCTGTTAAGATGAACTCCCTGTAACCCTGTAAGTTATACTTCAAGTTCTTCTGCGGCTGCCACCTCGGCCCAAGCGAAGCAGCAGGCAGCGTCCAGAAGGCCCCGTAGACACTCGCGCCTTCCCGCGACCCTCCCCCCGCCTCAGCCGTGTGAGTGCAAGCCGTGGAGGGGGTCAATGAGGTTTCTCTTAAGAGTGGCGGTTTATAACCCATTGTCTCTTATTCATACCTCCCGCCTGGAGGAGATTGCCAAGGTTATGGACGTGGACGTGCTGATACTAAATGGCACGAGGGTCCGAGAGTGGCAGGATAGGCTTTATCACGTGCAGAATTTACCAGAACGACGGACAGCGATTCATTTTGGATGGAAGACTGGTTTGATTTAGGGTGGGGTTTTCGGATTCAACCGACTCAACCTGTTTTCGCAGCATCGTCATCATCATCGTCATCATCGTCGTCATGATATTCATCATCGTCCGCGTCATCGCCATCACCATCACCATCTCCTCATCATCGTCATCAGCATAATACCCATCATCATCTCCTCGTCATCGTCATCATCATGTAGTGATGATGATGATGATTAAATCAAGACCCGCATGACGATGATGGCGGCGTGAACATGTTGATGATGATGATGACGATGATGATGAAGTCGATGATTGCAATGATGATGGCGATGAAGATGATGATTTCAGACTGCGCGGGCCGTGCTGAGTACTAATCGGAAAACCCCACAGCCTCCGTGGAAGCGGGCTACCGCATTTCGTCAAGCACCTCCGTGAGGTCGGGCAGCGCCACGGGGACCCGCGCCAGCTGAGCGGCCACGACGTGGTTCACGACGTTGAAGGACTCCTTCGGGCCAGGCGTGGCGTCGATCCTGCGCGCCCTGAACTCCCGAAAGACGTCGGAGCGGATCATGACGGCGATCTGCAGCCTGCTGTCGTCTACGCGCTGTTGCAGCTCGTGGTGGGTCGCGAAACAGCCCCGGCAGTCCGCGGAGGCGTGGCGGTGCACGTTGTGCTCGAGGGAGGACAGGGTGCCCATGTAGAAGGACCCAGGCTTTTGCTCGAGGGTGACGACCCTTCCGCAAGAGGCTGTGCTCGAGGGCGACGCCCCATCATGTGCTCCCAGGACCCCTGGGATCCTCACTTGCACGGAGCGCGCCCCGAAAATCGCCGCGGCCGCGTGCAACAAGGAGCATCCGCCATCTGTGTGCCAACCATCGTCCCGTGCGCCTGGTTGCATGAGCTGGATCGATGCGTACGCGAACGCGTTGTCGGCGAAGTGCTCTGTCATGATGGGCTTTCCGTTCTGCTCGGCGATGGCAGGTGGCATGCCGTCGGCTTTGAAAGCCTCGCGCATTTTGTCTCCCAGCTGTTGCAGCCGCGGGCGCATCTTCTTCCGCAGCGCTCGCACGAAGGCGGCCGTGTGGGGCGAGGGGGTGATCTGCAAATTCCCGCCCTTGTTGAGGCTGCGGCACTTCGGGGGGCTTTCGTCGTCCACGATGCCTGCGACCTCTGTTTTCAAGCCCTTTGCCGCCTCGTCGCCTCGGACGCATTTGGAGACGGTTGCTCCCGTGTCCAGGCGCTCCTCGGCCAAGTTCTGCCAGCACGGGTCTCTCTGCAAGAAGCGGAGCAAGTCTGGGTCCAGCTCCGCCTCCGCTATCCTGCCCGCGCCGTTTATCCCCGGCGCCATGGAGATGCGCGCGTCGAGCTGGGCGCCAGCCGGCTGCAGGAAGCGACGAGCCCTTAGACGACTGATTGTCGCTCTGGCGCCAGGGTGCCAAAGCAGGCAGCTCTCGGCGGCCTTCAACAAGTCTGGGGGGCAGTCTGCAAGTTCGTCAACGGGCCAGCGTCCTCGGCCGTCGAGTGCCTTCGCTGTTTCAGCCCTTAGCCGATCCTCGCCCGACCGCTTGAACCGCTTCTCAAAGAAAGGCAGGTTGTCCAGCCACGGGGCGGGTTCCTGGTCCTCGTAATTGTAGAAGTCTCCCGACCCTGGCTCCTTGCCTGGGATCCCCAAGACCTCCCTGCTGGCGGTTGGAACAACACCTTGCGCGTGTGCAACTCCCCCATCAGGCACCCGATGGACCACATGTCCAGGTCCTCTGAGTAGCGCTGGTTCCCAAAGAAAACGTCTACCGCTCTGTAAGCGGGCGTGCATACTCCGAGGTCATCGCAGGTCGGGCTGTAGCGCAGTTCCTCTTCAACCTGCCGCGGGGATCCGCCATCTCCACACAGCCGAGGTCGCCGAGCACCACCTGCGGTGAGGGGCGGATGGAGGAGAGGAGAGCTCTAACATAGCATGTTAGAGCTCCCAGGGAGCTCTAACATGCCATGTTAGAGCTCCCTGGGAGCTCTAACATGGCACGTGATACCATGTTAGAGCTCCCAGGGAGCTCCATGGAGCTCTAACATGGCATGTTAGAGCTCCATGTGAGCCCTGACCACTCGGGATCTTAGTCGAAGGAACGACGACGATGACGAGGATGACGACAACGACGACGAGGATGACGAGCATGACGACGATGACGAGGACGACGAGGACGACGACGACGAGGACGAGGAGGACGACGACGAGGACGACGAGGATGACGAGGATGATGAGGACAACGAGGACGACGACGACGAGGACGAGGAGGACGACGACGAGGACGACGAGGACGACGAGGACGGCGAGGACGACAAGGACGACGAGGACGAGGAGGACGAGGAGGAGGAGGACGACGACGACGACGGCGACGACGACGGCGACGACGACGTCGACGACGAGCGCCTCGAAGGAACTCGGGACCTGCCAGTCGAACTGCAGCTTGCTTTTTGGGCACGGCGCGACGGGATCCCATTCGCCAAGCTCACGTGATACAAGCGCCTGCTTCTCGAAGCAGCCGCGCGTCTGCGGCGATCCTCGCATCAGGATGTTCGCGGGCTTGATGTCGCAGTGAATGAGGCCACTGTCGTGCATGCACTGGAGCCCTTCGAGAACGCTGTTCAGGACGTGGCGCATCCCTGTCTGCGCGAAGGAGGACTTCCCGAGGAATTGGCGGACATCGATCTCGAACAACTCGTGCGCGAGGCCGATGTGCTCCGTCCATTTTCAATCCATCCTTGGTACTGACTGTTGCAGTTCTCGGTGTGCTTTCTTCGGGACTGTTGCAGCTCCTGGGCGCAACTTCCTGAAAAAGGCCCACGTCGAGTAAGCGAACGAGACGCGGGTGCGTGCCCACAGCACCGCGGCGCATGACCTCATCCAGAGCCCCTCCGACGGCATCCGCATTGAACCCCTTCTGCGCATCGCTGGGGTCGCCCCGCAGCATCTTGATCGCAAGGC